TATACAATGATACCTATCATTGCATTCAAATTTAACCTACCCTAGTCAGAGATCCACCCCACCCCCTAATGTACAGCATCAGAGCGATACCCACTTACCCGCTTTTTTTTATATTTATTTATACAATTTTGAAGTATAARTAATTATTATTAATTACATTTTCATTTTATCCATATTATTTGTGTTAATATATTATATTTATTATTTATTAGAAGACATAATATTATGTATAATTGCAATTGCAAATATCAAAATTTGTTTCTATAATTTTATACTATTTTACTTTATTTTTATAAATATTTTATTTATTATTAGTATATTTACCTCCTCTATTTTACGGGCTATATATTGTAATCGTATACATTTTACTAACATATGAGGGCAACTGGTATTTTTGTTTAGGGGCAACTGATATATTTCGTTGAGGGAAACTGGTACATGTCCATTTAAACTTCATATGCAAATAAAAAAAAAAACTCATGTTGTGTCTTTAATATTTTTAAACAGCTCTAATAAAAACTTATGAGAATGATGATTATAATACATTTTCAATGCTTATGGCAGAATGAAATTTTTTTATTGGCATTAATAAAAAAAAAATATTTTTAATATATGTGAAGTATTTAGAAAATTATATGTTGCACGTCTTGAAAATAATTTATCAATTTTTKATAAAAAATTTAAATTTTCATTGTGTTTTTCTTTTTTAAATTATATGTATAAAAAGAAATAAATCCATTATATCAAATTCTAGTTTTTCATTATTTTCTTTTGTTTTTCCTCATCTTGTAATTACATGTCACAAATTCGTGAAACATAATAATATTTTTATTTTTCCTGTTTCTGATACTTAAGAGTATTTAAGAAAATGTTTTTCAATAACTCTGCACATAATGTAGTTAGTAGATAAGTACCTACTACAATAATTGATATCTACTACCTATATATTATAATAATATATATATATATATATATATATTAAGTTTACTAACAGTAAGATTATTAAAAATAAAATATCTATTAAATACTTTTGAACAAAATTATTCCTTGAGGATTTTAGACTTTTTCTTATTCACGTTGATTAATCCTATAAAGAGAAATTTATAATAGTAAGTTTATATCGAATCTGGAATAATCATTATAGTTCTGACTTTTACAATAGTTATAAAGTAGATCTTATATTGAATATACAAACAATGGAGGTAAAAGTAGTCCRAGCTCTATTATTATTAGTTATTACGTTCAAGAAAATAGGATTGATATGGGCTCAATAATTTTACAAACACAAATACACAATCGAATAATATCGCATTCAAAACAACAACTATTCATAGTGTTATTGTGTTAGTGTTATGAGTAAAATAAAAACGTTAAGCATAATATAATATTACTATATTATCATTAGGTATTTCGTTTGAATTCGAATATTTAAAAAACATCAAATATTTTAAAAAATTTCGCATCCTTATATTATCATTCATTATTATTTACCTATTACACGCATAAATATGTAAGTAATATTTACATACGTACAAAGAACCTACGATAGTCACGCTGGCTGACCGAATCGCTTGCCAACACTTGCGAAAGCATTGCTCGTGGTCAAACCATGATGATTTTTAAAGGTGACTATTTACTTTGATTCTAGACTTTATTACTACATGGTAATGCTATAGCGTTCTATTGTTGTAATAATATTTATTATACCTAATTAATCACCAATATTATTATCAATGAGTATTCAGGATAATATTATGTAGGTATAGTTTATTTGTAATAACTGATAAGACATTACAATTATATACCCACGTTGTGTGATATATAAATACATTTAAATCGACAAATCGAGTACATATCAACATATTGTCATCATACAAAATTTCAAAATACGTTCATTTTAATTCTCAACAAACCATCAACATTTTCATTACAATTACGGTCGAATAATATTTTTTTAAAGTGATCATCGGCTTTAGATCTGTAGTGCTATTATTATTTTTCATGACCTGTAGAAAAAACTTTTTTATCTCACTGAAACCACTAAACCGCATAATATATACATTATAAATGATAATCTCATTTTGTCATAATATCGGTGTGCAATAACAAAACCCAGAACACTATGTAATCTAATATTTTATACACGAGAGACCCGGTACATAGGTACTCGCCCATTTATTATAAATACACGTAATCAAAATGTTTATAATACATATATATTATATTTTGTAATACRTTGTTAGATAAACCTGCAGTTGGTTACTATCAAACCATCCTTTCATCCCATATATTATTATATATTATAATCAAGACGTGGCGTGGACAGTAATACAAGAAGGGGCGTATCCTACAGGACACGTAATGCTTCTTCAGATCCGATCCAGACTCCCTCATTTAAATATACGACTATAAAAGAGACGCACTATATTTGTATATATAATAAATTATATTAAGATACGTACCTATATGTTACCGTTAAATTATGAAATCAGTTATTTTATAATTTGACGAACTGCTTTAGTTAAAGTACCTATTTAAGAAAAATTAAATTAATACTCTACTATAAGAAAGGTTTGGTTGAACAAACTATTACTTGTAATTCTATACACTATACCTACAGTTCCCGATTAAGAATATTTTAAGTACCTATGCATATCGTTTGGTAGTTGAAAAGTTGTATAGAAAATAATACAATAATTAAAAACAATATATATACGTATTTGAGAATATTAATGTATTTTATTTTTGAAATACTGTTCTCGTACATTTGGGGCAAAATCTGGGGATTTTAATTTATATGAAATTATAAAAATATAAAAACATACACAACAATTTTTTTTCAATATGATACAATTTGTACCTATAATAATTGCATACATTTTGAATTTGGAATAGTGGAATACCTATTATTATTCATTACAAGTATTGACATTGGTGACGGTTACAATATTGTCAATTATCCAACAATCAGTATTCTATTATATCTTAATGTTATCATTTTTATTATTTATTATTAAATACTTACTAGAAAATAATCGATTTAATTGTCACCGTCGTGCTTGTTATTAATAATGAAAATGAAACCAACTAGCTCACACACATGTGGTCGAAATCTCATTTTATCCTAACTTCTTCCAATGTATATATTACCTAAACTGACTATTATAATATGTGTATACCTTAACTGAAAAATCGTGGACAATGTGTTAGATGATATTGAACTATAATAATTTATATAGTATGGTTTATCGTCTTAATTTGATTAGTGTATAATAATAGCGTATATGTAAAATACTTATGTTACCTACCTAGATATTTCATTAAATGACACAATTTTACACTAAAATAATAACATATATCTATAGATATATGTATAGGCAACTAAATAAATAGATTTAAAAAAATCAATGTTTCAGCATTCGTACTTACATTGCTTAAAACATATATTATATTTAATAATATTCGATATTTGAAGATATTTTTTACATATTATATATTAAAACAACAAACATCATTAATAATCACATAACATTATAATATTATGTTCATTGTTCAGTTTAGGTATACCTACTCTATAACGAACGAAATTCATGAACATAAAGTTTTTGCTCGATTAAAACAACCTAAATCTATAGAATATTACAGCRGTTTTATTATTTTATARCGTCAGTTGTAATGTTGGGAGTAGAGTGACCACTGGATGGTATGATTACTGCTTGCGCCGGTAAAATAGTTCACGGGCATCTTTGTTTTATTACACTGCATTCCAGGCACGTATTATTTTGAAAACTATATAGCTATTGACTATTTTTATAGATATTCTTTACAAATCATATAGGACTATTGCGAGTATATATAATCATAATATATTATGAAATTAAATGTTTACGAAATAAGAGAAGTCAACAATTTACAATTTTTCTTCAACCGTTATTATGTACCATTGGGTTGTATCCAAATACGTTTACAAAAAAAAGTGAATACAAAATTTATTGTTATCAYAGGCAAGTCTATAATATTTAATATTATAATTACATTATTACAASTAAAACGTTGGCCGTTTTCTTTGAGATTATCATAGTCAAAAAAATCAAAACTGAAAAAAATTGAAATTAAATAGTCGAAACTACGAGAAAGGCCAGAATTTCATTTCAAGTATATGAGCCAGTTTTCAATATATATTATACCTAAATGTATAAAAACATTATTATGTAGTAACCAACACCCTATAGTCCGTATGCTAGTAGAACTGCGCCAAAATTACTTTCAATTCATGGCCATGTTATTTATTTATTTATACAAATTTTAAYTTAATAACAGCAAGCGGAACAATCAAAATATAAATTAAGATACCAAAATCACTAAAGTTCAAATTTTTAAAGTCACATGGACCAAAAATATATTTTACCTATCTACSCGTAGACTCCATGGTTTAAAAAAAATTCTTGGATACTTTATGACGTAACGTACGTTACTTTATGTGATAAGTTCTCCTGTCCTATCGCATATCGCATTAGGAAATAGTGTGTAAAAGGTTTAACCATTCGTTTTTATAATATTAGTGATAGTTGACCACTTTGCATTACCTATTGCCATAACACTAACCACGACCGTTATATTTCTATAGAATTATTAAATTAAACAAAACAAAAACTTTTAATTACTAACAAATTTTGATCCCAATTTTTATTAAATGCTCAGTCCCTTAAAAAAATGTCCATGGGTGCTAAAACTTCCGGACACTCGTCTAAATGACGCCAATGTATCTATCCAAAACTCAAATGTAGATACCTAACAAATTTTAAGTCGTAACATACATGCGTACGCGTATGCGTCATGCATTATGCAAATGCAGTACCGACTGCAAGGGTGGATTATATATGGTGTTACCTATATCACAAAAAAAAAAAAATTGCTACACTGCTACACTGATTAATTAATTTAAAACCATAATGGACAAAAATTGATCAAAAATTATAATGAGTTAAGTTTGATAGAATTTGAAAATATCTTTTCTAAATTATATAATAATTATATTTATAATAAATGTTACTGATACAGTGATATCTATCCTACTAAAAATATAAACACATATTCGACATTTTTCCAATCAGGACAACTCATAACCTCCACCATCCCCTTTCCATTCATAACCAYGGCATCAGCTGTTGTAGATACGCTTGGTTCATATAGTACTAGTTAATATTTAAACGTAGGCCGCCGTGGACTTACTCGGCGACGATTATYCGGTCRCCCTTGCAACACTTGTTGACGCACGTGTAACGGCCTCGGCCACAGTACTGGTCGCGTGGCCGGCACGTCCGGGCCACCAGCTCATTAGATGGCGTCAGATCGAAGCAGTAGCCGGGCGGCAACTCGACGGCCGATGGGTCCGCCACCTCCATCAGTTCACGCACCTCCGCGGCGGACACGTCCACTAGCACGTTCGCGGATTCGCACTTTGGCGCCTCATAATTGTAACCCACCATCGCCACATTGGCCACCGCCGGGAACCCATCACGCAGTCGCTGCATCATCCACCGCTGGTACTCGTCACCGTCCGCCTCGGCCGGTCCGCAGAACCTCACTTCCGGATCGTACGGCCGGTTCGGCGGACAGCATTTCCGGACCATCACGGCCGTCTGGTTGTCGTCGCACGTGCCACCGCCGATTGTCTCGACCGTGTGGAACGTACGGTTTTCGTTCCGACAAGACGCGACGGCGACACCGCCGCCGCCAACGACTGAACTACTGTTGCAACAGACCGCGGCGTCGGCGGCCGACCAGCCGATCGCGACAACGAGCAACAAGACGGTGGCGGCAAAACACGATCGGACGGCATTCATCGCGTGCGCACACTGTTTGGAGGCGTCGGCATATTCGCTATCGCGACCGTCGGCCGCCGCGAATGTCCGCAATCGCGACAGTTCGACGCGTCGTCGCCGCCGCCGACAGCCGCGCTCGTATATAATATTATTATAAAAATATAATATTTTAGTTTTTGTCGCCTAAATATTATTATATTATGTTATTGTATAATGATTTATGATTATTGTTTTATCGTAGGTAGGTATATTAGGTTTTTTGAACTTCCGATATTATTTTTCGGTAGGTATATTAGATATTGACGGGTTTTATTTTTATATTTTATTTCAGTATTTCATACCTAGTTGAACTGCTGACSGTAATCTGGTTCTACAGTTTTGTTATTACAACCGATATTTCATATGCAGCTGTCAGTATACACTCTGATGCATTCTGCACAAGCGCAAACAACGTTGTACCAGATTATTATTGTTTCCCTATTATTATTATTATTTATTATTATTATTATTTATTTCAATGTTGTTGCGTACCCTAACCTTAGGTAGCTAAGATGCTAAGAATTTATTAAGGTTAAACAGAAGATCGTTCACTTTTAAAAATTGAAATTCATTTGAATAATTTTATAGATTTTAATTGTTTTTAAATATTTTTATAGGTATATAAAGTGTTTATTTTAAAATGTATTTTTAAATTTTTGACGTATTTCAGTATATTTATTTAGAGTAATGGATATTTGAAAAAAAATCAAAGAAAATATACTTATGTATTCAATAATATTTATGTGGTATATTTTAGATTTTAATAAAACAAATGCATCTTTCATTACTTTATATCGCATTTCAATCCTAGCCCTAATAATTTCATAAACTACATGTTTTTCTTACAATTATTATTATGTAATGCAGTCGCTTGGCTACAGTCGACGTTGTATTATACACAAAATACATAAGGTAATACTTACAAATCTAAAAATAAAGATATTTAAAAAGATCAAACAAAACTCAAAAATTGCGGTCAAAAGTTGTAAAGCGACAACAAAAACACGATATGACATGTGTCGCAGAAAAGCTGTATCAATTGGAGTTCGTGGTGAAAACACTGACGCGGTGTGGCCGACCTGAAGATGAGAGCTGCAGCATGGTCATTGGCATCAAGTTTCTGGGTAACCAGGAACAGGTGGTGTGCGAGATCCCGGCGTCGGTGGACTCTTCGGCGTCAACGGTGACCACCGTGAATGCTGGAAATAAGTATACGTTTCCTATGACCGGCGGCGGCAAGTGCGAACCACGGTCGATACGCGTGGCTGTTCGGCTGCACCGGATGTTGGGTACTGACATGTTGCCAGGCCGCGTAGAACTGGCATCCGGAGAAATGGAAGTTCCAGTGACCAGGAAACCAGACGAAAAACGACGAGGCCGTCCGCCCTCCAGCGCGGGTGGTGCATGTGCCACTGACTGCGATGACAACGTTTCCGATGACGGCTGTGAGATGAATGTGGCAATGACCAGTTGCCACGACGGACGCACAGTAGCTGTTCTGATWGTTAGGGCACGGATGTTGTGCATTGGTTCGATAATGGCTGCACCGATCGCATGCCCTGACCCGTGTCCGACTCCTTGCCCAGCCCCCTGCCCGGTTCCTTGTAGCGTCCAGCCCGCCAAGTGTCCAACCCCATGCCCGGTAAAATGTCCAGCCCCCTGCCCGGGGAAATGTCCACCCAAGAGTCCGACCCCCTGCCCGCCCAAGTGTCCGGTACGTTCCTCGACACAACCCAATTCTTTCAGCCAGAAGAAACCTGGATGTGCGTGTGAACCTTGCCGGAAAAAGACGACGACCGTCCCGTGTTGTCCGACAAGTTGTCCGCAACCACGGCCATGTCGCCGGTCATGCTGTCCCACTTCCATTGGGTCCAGTTGCCCGCAGCAACAGTACGAAACGGTGTCGTGCGAGATCGACGGCCACAAGATGGACTTGCGTGTGCGCAAGAAAAACTTCGAGACGTGCTCGGTGCAACGACGGATCGCCAACGAAGCTGAGGCATTCGCAAGCCGGGTCATGGGAGTTGTAAAAGACATGCATGGTCTCATAATGGACTCGTCCAATAGTGAAAGCAATGGAAATTGACAACATAATTACAATTAACACATCGAAATTTTATCACATTATTTTTTTAACATATACATATTTTTTGTAAATAAAACTAAAAGGTCTGTTTAAAAGATTTCTTTCAAAATAGATAAAGTGTAGATWATACATAATTCATCGGAAAAAAAAATCTGCAAAAGGTACATTCAGTGGTTATTTACTTATTGGTTATTTCTGATTTGGAATACCTATAGTATTCTATATAGTATAGTTGGTCCTAGGCACGGATCCACGGTGAAAGAGGTGACAACTTCCCACAAAATTTAAATTTAATCCTGAAAATTTTAAATTTTATAGAAAATTCAACTAAGACATAAAATAAATAATTGATAATATTTGATATAAACTTTAAATTGATTTATAATAATGAATTTGTTTGAAGTACAGTTTAAAAACAACAGGTTAGAACAACTTATAAAAGAAACATATTATAGAGATGAACATTTAGGTAAAGTGTTAAATATTTAGATGAAGGTTGGACTAAGAATTAAATATAGACATAAATATTTTTGCATATTTAGGGATTTTTATGAATGAATGCAGATTTTGAAAAAAAAAACTCTTAATACCTAAATGCATATTTTGCCAAAAAAATAACTTAGGTAAATATAATATAAACCTAGATATAAACACATAGATAGAAAAAATCATCATAAAACTGTGTACCTACCCCCTTCTCACAACTGTGCCTCTTGATTTCACGAGTTGGAAGAAGTTTTACTTTATACATGTGTAAGTTGAACACGCACCTAGTTAAAATAAATTGTGGATAAATACCCTTTTGGTAAATATAGTGGTTATAACTTATAACATTTATTATGTATTTAACAAATTAACAATATTCTTATAATAGTATAAATAGATAGGGSATATAGAAATATGTTAATAAAGAAAATTAAAATTCAATAATTAAATAATAATAATACAAATAACAATAAGTAGGTGTAGTTGAAATATATCATTATAATAACATTTGTTGGATTTTTTGAACTGACGAAAGACGTTAATCTTTATTTGTTATTTACTTCGTTTAAAATTTGATTAATGAAAAATCCTTGTATTCTATAAGTTTTTGAGGTAGGAACATGTAAGAATGTTCCTCGTTGTACCATGCAAAACAGATCTTGGTATGTTGTACTTTTGTAAGATGGAGGAAACACATGCAGGCATTACATACATTAAATTATAAAAATAAATGTTAAAATGATTGAAATAGTATAGCTGGGCAGAGATGTTCTTACCACCTCAAAATCAATAAGTTTAGCCATAATAATTAGACTGTTGTGGAAAAAATAACATGGAGAAAAAAACCTTTTTATGATTTTTATTCTAAGCTGTCATTTGGATTAAATAAATGTTGTAAGATTTGTAAAATTTAAATAATATTTCTGCATAGGTATTATATAATTATTAATTATTTAAGAATAAAAAATAAAAAATAATTTTTGACATAATTTGGTACTTGGTAGCTATACAATTAATTTAAAAAAGCGGGTAAGTCGTGGATGTCGCTCTGCCGTACAGTAGGTTACTRTAATGGATGGGATTAAATTTGAATGCAATGATAGGTATCATTGTATACGAAAAACGATTCTGAACGGAGATGATTTGTCAGTCTAGGATATATTATATTTAAATATTGTCAT